CCCCGTCCAACTTTACTCTTTTCTTTACAATGAGGCTTCCAAATAAGTCATGGTCGTACGGCAGTGAAGCATGGGTGTTGGACACTGATGTCATGCTGTCGATGATGACGATGATGATCACTGTGAAAATAAACAAGTCACGATGGTGATGCGTCGTGACTTGTGCTTGTTTTCGAATCGACACTGTTTGTCATACACGTATGTCACCAATAAACTGGTGATGAGGAACTCGCACCTTTAACAAATGCCATGCTTCCTGCTTTCTCTCCCCTAATATTTGTCTGTTTGTCACAAACGTTTGTTTCGTTTTCCACTGGTCCTTCACTTTCCTCTTTTTCTCTTCGTCCCTCCGGTTTTTTTGCATCCTCCAGAAGCCGAATAATCCCTTTGGGAAACCCGAAGCGAAACTGCATGTTCAACTAATCGAACCGTCAGATGCTACAGAGTCGGAGACTTCGAAAGAGCATGTACTCAAAGTAAGTATCTATTCATGTGTTGCGCTCATAGGGAATGAAGCAGCTTGTTGGACAACCGGCATGGTGCACAAGCAATTCCCCGGTTGACCTAAATCTTCTCTTCAAGCGGTCAGATTACTTTGGTTTGGCGTTATGTTGCTCACTAAACAAGCTTGGGGGTGAGATGGTTCGAGCGCGGATTCACTGACCGGAAAGTTTGTTGTTCGAACCCAACCCCTCTGCCCCTCGACTGCCCCTGTCTAGGCTTGGGCAACTTGGCAGTATCCCAGCCCTCGTGTATCCTGTGGGTGGTATGACAGCTAGGCATTGAAGGGGTTCCTCAATCAATACACTTCAGATCATTTCTGTGGAAGTTGGGAACCATTCCCCTGAGTGAACATTTCTAGTTCCCTTGACTACGGGAAGAAACTTTTTCGAGGAATCGTTTGGGATCCCTGGACGCGCGTTTTGTTCAAACCAAAGACGTCTGGTTTGACCTTTCAACATGGTCCATTCGCCAGAACACCTATATCCACTTTACACCAGATAGGTTCGGTTAAAAGCCAGATTAGATTGGGTTACTAAATTGAATCCGACGACAAAATTTGCCATGGAATTGAACAAGAAAAACAGTATCACAAAGGTCGAGTACTAGAAAATAACAGTCGTTCAGCTGTAGTACCCTCTCGGTGCCTAGCTGCTATGCCACCCGAAAGAAGCACGAAGGCTCAGATACTGCCAGGTTGTCCGATCCTAGACAGGAACAGTCGGGTTCAAACCACGCTGCGGTTGGTAAGCTTGCACCCTAACCACTTCGCTATCTTGACCCCACTTGTAAGTGAATTTCAGGTTGGATAGTCCAAACATCTAGACAAAAGTCATCGGTAGTGGTTTACCGTTTAGAACTCCTAACACGCTGTATAGCGTTCTCAGTTTGCGACGAACACACTCCCAACACAGCATGACCAAAGTTAGCTGACGTTTTTAGAAAAATGCACCCGAACGGTTAGCATGAATTTACCGAGAGGACTTGGGGTGGTTAAGCACTCTGCTTCGTTTCAACTGAACTCAGTTTACAAGCTATAAACCGTGTACCATAGGCTACTACAGCTTTAATCACCGGAAAGTGGGGCAGTGTGGGACATACAGTGAAGCATTGGAGGCAAAGGCATGGGTAGCTACGCATGGAAGGCGATAGCTTTGATGCCACTGACTGCGCGATTCGACCATTTCTGTCAGTGTCACTAGCCATTGGTGAATTGAGTCCCGTGGCCCCCATCCAACGAGGCGGCAGTTGCCAACCCGACTAAGTTCACTGCCTAGTGTTTTCATACTTCATTGCCAGGTCATACACTGTCCGCCTATCGGTCGCTTCCACTCAGTACAGGACTGGGAGAAAAGAACTCTGCGGGGCAGACGGTCTTCTGGCATGCGGAGCACCGGCGTAACCTATGAAGCGGGAAACTTCCTTCTTCCTAAGACCTTCCTCTGGTGTACCTCGGTATTACTAATCCCATGTTCCCACCAGACCTAACCAATGCTTCGGAGACACTGATGATCGAACACTGACATCTTCCGTATGTCGTCTGCGCGTAGGGGCCACGTCTCTGATCCATAAAGCAGTGCGGATCGCACCATTGCAGTGTGAACATCTTGACAGACACTCACGTCACATCGGTACCATAGGTGTCGGAGGCTGAAGAAATCTGCCCCGAACTTGAGAAATAATCTCATCTCCAGCCAGTCCACCGAAACCTGTATATCTGCCCAAGTTTATCTACAACGTCGATTGGCTCGTCTGCAAGCATGAGGTGTGGGTTTGATCCCACCCAGTCTTGTAGCAACACTTCCCACTTTGCAGGTGTGAAGCGCATGCTAGACCGTGCGGCATTTAAAATGGTTCGAATTTTTGAAAGATCTCTCACAGAATAGAGGTTCCTTCAGAACACGTCAGACGACGACATGATCAGCACGACGGTGTAGACAACTCGGTGATAGGTCCTGACCAAAGATGCCACATCATTGTCTGAGCTGACCTGACTCAAACTGACTAGACGACGCAGAGAAATGTCAACATATAACTGAATTTCACCTCGTTTGGTCACCTACTTATTTGACGCTCCTCGTGTTCCAAACGCGGAACAATCCCTCCCGCTTGTCGGATCCAGTACGTTTGTTTGCGAGTGGCACATATTTACTGCCGGTTCTCCAAGTTGAACTTCAATCTGTGGCCACTCGAGTCTCATAACTGTTCCTAGTAATGACTTGTACGACCTCGTAGGATCGTTTATGAAGATCTCCTTTTTCACTTCTGTCTGTACACTGTACAGACAGCTAGATAAAGTGGTCATGAATAGTGGTTTTGAAAGACTTTGCAAACATATTTGTGGCCAACATCGAGAACTGATCAACTCAGCGTGTTTACGCTATGTACTTTTATGAACGCTGTGTTGATGACGACGCGTTGGTTGTGCGATGTACGAAGGGCCAAAACCCCAGCGGGTGTAGGGTTTAAAACAGAGTGGATATCCTTCTTGGAAGATTTCCACCTTGAACAGATTAGAGGAAAGTGTGTAGGCGCTTGGAGTTTAGATGAGACGGTGTATACACTCGGTTTGGAATGCACTTTCCATGCAACTAACCTAAAGGGCCTGGCTAAAGTAACGAGAATACTACCGACATGCCGCAAGGATAGTCTGCCCCCCCCCTCAAACTGCGTTGAACAGAACCTCATCCACCAGTCTACATTGATTTTCATCTCCATCATCCTCGGACCGAATAGCTATTCGAAGTTCGGACAACCTCCGGTGTAGAACAAACCGTTTATTCTCCAAACGGGCGCACAAGGCGCGATCCGAATCTCTAGTAGTGAAGTACTCTCCACGTGTTGGAGCCCACTTGTCCAGCAAGGCTTGGTTTTCAATTTGACTTTGGCGTGGTAAGGTAGGAGGCATGAATGCTTACTCTGTTCCATAAATACGTTTTCTCCCGTACCACTTGTTTCTTGTCCAGTTCACCTCTCTTCGCTCCAGTTTAGTCAAAGTTCACCCAGGTGACCCTTTCACCCATTGATGACGTCATATCTTCAGCATTGATCGTTCACACTTGCACATTCGGTTCTGCTCTCAATAGCTCTTGCATCAGACAGTCGGACAAACCGTGGCAAAATTGAATCCCCCAGAAATATCTTTTTGTACACAGCTTCATTCGCAAGTTAACCATAGATGGAATGATGTCCGCGATCGGTCTGGAATCAGGAAAGCGAACATTACTGTGACTAGTTGACTAGTTTGCTCGTGGACGTGAGGACCTTTCACTCTCTTCTCATTTGTCACCTCTCCTCCGACAGATTGAGCAAAAAGACGCACGTGGCGTAGCTACAACCTACCTGATTCAAATGCCGCCCAACGTCATTGTTTGTTGGAAGGCCGCCATCCGGTATGCGCAACAACTCATGGTATGTGGCGTTGGTTTCCTTGTGTAGTTCACGCCGTTCTATTGACCCAGATAACATGCATCTGACTTGCTTGCCTCTTGTGTGATCTCAGCAGTAGCCCTGGGGGCGCAGACGATATTGTCCACACTCACGTGACCGCATTGATCGACTACCAGTAGTACATCCAATCAGTTTACATCAACGCACACATAGTATTATTGAAGTGTGCTCAAGCTTGAGCACACTTCAATAATACTATTGTAAATGGCTATTAATCATTTTAGTCACGTGATAACCGAACAGACTTTTTCTTTCGTTTCAACTTTAAAAGGAAACAATACGGGGACAACGCGCTGACTGAAAGCATAGAATTATATATGATCCGAGTTGGCGCAATATTCAATTCACGTTTAATTGGATGTCTAAAGTCTCACACGTGTCGGCTCATTCGCTTGTCCTCGCTACTTCAAGAATTGCGCAACTTTCAAATTTTTCCGTAAACTTGCCACGTCTAGAAATGCTTCTCACGGTGTTACAACTAAGGATTTAGCCGAGTCTCTCGATTATGGTGGTATTTCTCCACTTCTTGTTTCAGCTAGCACGTAATTCGAGATGTCGCAGTTTATTTTCTCGGCAGAACACACTACTAACAAGTTTGTTGACAATTGTTCAGCATCCCACTACCGGTTTTGCCATTCCTCTCGGGCTTACATCAAGTAGGCGCAGTCCGCTAGTTTCCGTCATTCGAGCACCGAATTGTACACGCTCATTTGCGAATCTTATTGGTGCTAACGGAACAGTTATCTGAATTTCTCGCTTAGGACACTGGATGTGCTATGCGAAGGCCGCCTTATGTTTCAGTTGGCATGATATTTGACGTATCGACATATTGAAATAACGCGCAGTTAGTCGGTGAAGTCACTGTTTCGCCTTCTTCGTTTCGTAACCAGCTACTGACCAAGTCAAGCAAGGTCAATGTGTTCTTCAGGGATCAGTTATCCGCCCTAGACAATTATCGATCCGTACTAAATAATTGACTCGGTATTCGGATCCCCGACGTCAACTTTCACCTTGGTTCTGGTTCATTGCATTGGCACAGATCAAAACGAGCTGGTATTCTCTGTGGAGTCCGATCTATTGATGAGAAACTGAGCATGTCTGCAGTAACAGTATTTTCCTTAACTTATTTCTCCACCTGAGCCTCCCAAGCTAGCGTTCACGTCAAACAACCACCAAAGGTGCACAAGGTATATTAACTCCCAAAACGAGGTCAGGAACACTTGTACAGCGCTTCGTATATATAGCATAGGCGGTAATAACGTTCTGGAAAGTCTGACGCCCACTGGATGCGCTATGGGCAACCGGCATTCGGCCAATACTGGGTCATGATTGACTGTTGGGTCCAGACTTTCGACCAGTCAGATCTCGTCTTGATGCCGGACCGGCAAGCGTCCCGAATTCTTGGCCAATTATGCGTGGGATGGGCTTCTCGGCCGTAACAGCACCTGACTGCGGGCAGCAAGGAGGGATCCGTGTGGAGTTCCGCCTAACAATGACCGATACTCCTCCATCTTTGTAGGATCCACTGACCTTAAATTTTAGTTTGGAAAATCACTTTCTTATCGCAGTTCTGGTATTACTACATTGTTGTATGTCTGCTCCTACTAGTTTAGCATAGTGTACATTGTTTTCTTTTCAGGACGAGGAGAAACTCCTGACCCCATCCCTTGCCCGAGACACGCTAAAGAGTGAGTTCTCGTTGCTTTGTTCCATATTGAACGATTACTTGCCCTACATATTCCAAAAGTAGTAAGTAGTAAGCTTCACGGAAGAACCTCGGTTTTTTCGTCGTGGAACCTGTTTTTCTAGCCATAAGTATTCGGTGGTTTTCCGTACTGCTTGCAGGCTTTCCAGTCGTAAAACTACTCAAGGCCGAATGGAATAACCCTCGCTAATGCTTCCATAAAAGTGGAGAATACCAGTTTGTCCTTACATCGATTTTCCCTGGTCAATCTCCGCAGTGCCACGACTGCCGTGATGGTCGTGCTCTTGGCCATCCGTTAGCTAAGCGAATGGTCACCCTCAGCAGCCGCCCAAGATCACCCATCACCTCTGAATGTCACGGTGGTCGGAGTTTGGTGTTAGAGGACTCTGTCTGAATGTGATCCCATGCGAATGTGCTCGCATCTGGGCTGTGTAGTCCCCGGTCTCAGGGAGTCGCTCTTTCTCCGCCCGGCACTTTCTAATCCCACAGGTTTGGGAGTTTGGATGAGTTTATGAAGCCCCAGAATTTAAGGAAACCAGCCAGTTTGGGGACATTTGTCCGAACTGTATTCATTTTATCTACCCACCAAGCCCTACGCACCTGTAGGTAGGACCCTGAAAAATAGCAAGACGACCAGACAGGTTTTTTGCTATTGTGGACAACGTTATTTCATTCGAAAGCCGATGACTAGCAAAACTCTGAATAGTGCCCATATAGCACTTAACCCCTTTTACGAGGACCGCTTACCTTGCTGGTGGAAAGATGGCGGCACACTGCGTCCGCCCGTAGGCCTGAACCATGTGGCTAGGGAACAGTGACTAATTGAACGCCACCCTAATACACATGCCATTGCGTTACTGTCAACCCCCTTCTTGTTGCGCTTTTAGTCATCTAGATGGAGTCATACTTCTAATATTTGGAAGTTCTGTTTTAGCCAATGTCTGAAACATCGACCGGATTTCAAGGTGGCCTGACAGAAGCTTTACATCTGTGAAGGTATCCACCTTGGAGCAAATATAGCTCCTGATTTGTCAAGTTTTTTGTCATGGTATTCCGGGACGATAGACTTGTAGGATTGCCCTGTCCAGATGCACTTTTTGCCAGTAGGAGCGAAAATGCGAACGGAGTCAACAGGAGGTGTAATGCCGACATCGCGCTGGAGTTTAACTGTGTCCAAGGACTCATTGTTTGCCTGTCGTAAGGGACTAAATTCTGTCTTCAAATACTTTTGAAGAGGCACGANTTAACTGTATCCAAGGACTCATTGTTTGCCTGTCGTAAGGGACCAAATTCTGTCCTCAAATACTTTTGAGAGAGGCATGATAGACATGTTACATCCCTGACCAGGGTAGCTCTCAATATACGGCCTCCCAGAACCACGTAGGGCCTTTTCCTGCTTTAAGGGTCACTATTAGAGTTTTCGCTGGTTGGCTTTTGGATTAAAGTAGATTCGGGCGTTTCTGTTGCAGATTTTTTGCTTTGAGCCCGTTCGTAATAGTGTTACGCTGATCCCTCCGTCCAAGATTGTCTGGTATGTTATTAGGTATCAAATCCACTCTCGTCATGCACTACTCACATACCATAACTAGTATAATGTTATGTTGCAAGGATTGGCGGTCTTAGCGACTCCGCACCCTAGCCGTAGTCGACTGTTGTTACCTAACCGGTTATGTATGAACTCGATTGATTCCACTTAACTGTACCGTGACAAGGATGAGCCGGTTTCCTGAGTTTCTCGAACCACACCTATCGATCCATCATTGGTTCCATTGGCCTGGGCCTTAGAGAGCCTATACTGAGACGGGCCGTATTATGTAACTGATTGTGTGTGACAGGCCCTTGGCATTATTTCACTACATTTGACTACTTCCTTTCAAGGGGAGTTATTCAGTAAGTTTTCCGTCGGCGGCCTGTCTTCTGCCCTTCAGCGTCACTTTCTTCTTAATTTGCACGCGATGCATCTTTGTTGCCAATCCAAGCTAAGAAGTACTCGTTTCCTCCGAATGCCCAAACACCTGTCCTATATTCGTTACAGTACCTGTTAAGTCCCGTAGCTGTGCGTTCTTTGCTGAAATTCAGGAAAGCGCTTCTTTTCAATGCAACCCACTTAACTGCCACCCCGTGAATGCTGCGACCGATCTTACAATTCGTGAAAACCTATGACCAGTCATTCTATACCAAGATCACATTTCCAATTGTGGCGGCCCCTAAGAGCGAACCTTCCGAATGGACGCATTTCGAAATCCCCAGTCAGCAACGTAGTAGTAGTTTCGAACGGGGGTCTTCCCCGGACGCATTTCGAAATCCCCAGTCAGCAACTTAGTAGTAGTTTCGAGCGGAGGTCTTCCCCAAACGAGGCCAATATTCCCTCCCCCTTCACGGTGGTCTCTCTACGAGGGCATCTCTTTAGCTTATAGTCATTTTATCTAATTTTATGGGAGGAGTCCTGGGTGGATGTTCATAAAATCATCATCATCATTGTCAGCAGTAAGAACCGCGTACTCGTCGTACAGTGGTTGTAGCTGCCACAGTTTCGTTCACCGATGATTTGGGGAGGTGGGGTAGGTAGCTGCGCATTGCATGCGCGAGCTGGTAAATTGGTGCACTAATCCAGAACTATCAGTGGGTTGTCAAGCGGCGGGGGGTGGAAAAGGAGCTATGCATTGAAGACAATAGCTTTGATGCATGAGCGCCATTGAGGGCGCGACTGGGCCATGTCTGATAATGTCTCTAGCCATTGATGTGGCCCGTCTCGGGGTCCCCATCCAGGAAGACGGCAGTGACCAGCGCAGCTGAGTTTGCTGGTAATGGCTTTCATACTTCGCTGCCAAGTCATTGTTTGACCGCCTCTGGCTCTCTTCCACCCTTCACATGGTTGGGCGAAAAGAGCCCTTCGAGGAAGTCGGTCGACTGGCATACGCAGCACGTGGCCAAGCCAACGCAACCTGTGCAGTGTGATCAGTTCATCTATCGAGGGTGAGTTATTTCTCCCGAATACCATTCGACGTACTTCAGAATTGCTGATCCGGTGTTCCCACCAGATTCGGGCAATGCTCCGAAGACATCGATGGTCAAACACTGAAAGTCTTTTGACGTCCTCGGCGCGCAGCGGCCAGGTTTCTGATCCATATAGTAATATGGAGCGCACCGCAGCATTGTAAACTCGACCCTTGACAGAGAAACTGATGTCACGCCTACGCCACAGGTGACGTAGGTTCGCAAAAGCTGCTCTGGCCTTCCCAATCCGGATGGAAATATCATCTTTCGCGAGACCACCGGGACTGATACAGCTGCCCAGGTAGACAAATTTGTCTACTACCTCAATCGGTTCATCCGCAAGCATGAGGCTAGGGTTCGAGCCCACCCAGTCTTGCAGTAGCACTTTACACTTTGCAGGTGTGAAGCGCATACCAAACCGCGAGGCAGAATTATTTAGATTATTTAGTATTGTTTGCAATGCCACGGGGTCAGATCCTAGAAGAGCTATGTCGTCTGCGTACTCGATGTCTGTGAGCGGAGGCCCAGGGAGCACTTCGACCCCACAGGCATTAGAGGCTGGTAGTGAGTCTTCCATGATCGTATCAATGACGAAGTTAAAGAGGAAAGGTGAAAGAGGACAACCCTGTCGGACACCACTTGATGTGGTGAACTCAGGAGAGAGCTTCCCGTAGACCTTTACACGGCCGCGGGAGTTGGCGTACAGCGCCTTAATGAGGTTCAAGAATTTATGAGGGACACCTTTGCTCCACAGACAATGCCATAGTGCTTGGCGGTCCACAGAGTCAAAGGCAGCTTTCAGATCAAGAAAAACAACCATTGTTGGTTGCTGGAAGCAGTGTCGCTGTTCCAGAATCTGTCGGAGGGTGAAGATATGGTCGATGCAACCTCTTGCAGGACGGAACCCAGCTTGGTTTTCACGGATCTGCCTCTCCCTGTGTTCAGTCAACCTTCGAAGGATAAGGCCAGAGAGCACCTTCGATGCCACAGCTAACAGGCTGATGCCACGGTGGTTTTCGCATAGCGTCCGTGTACCCTTTTTGAAGATAGGGATAACTGTCGACATGCCCCATTCTGCAGGCACTTGCTCTTCGTCCCACATAGTACCAATAAGCTTTGTCAAGTGGGTCACCAGGGAATTTCCGCCTTCTTTGAAGAGGGCTGGATACAGACCGTCCGGTCCTGGTGCCTTCTCACGTTTCAGTACGGCTACTTCATACCTTATTTCTTCTTCCGAAGGGGGATCAAAGTTTATATTCCATTCGCCCGTATGCACTATCTCTTCATAAAATACGTGCGGTTCTATCCGAACTTACCCTGGAGACGTGATAGAGTTAACTTATACCCACGTCAACTGAAGAAGCTACTTCCACTCTCCTCAATGCCAGACTTGTGACATATTGTAGTGCCAAGGAAGTCATATGACGTTTCTCAGTTGTTCTGACTTCGAGTTTGGACGGAAGAGTAAATGTGTGCATAAGTACACTTCAGGCAGCAATGCGGTCATCTCCAGGACGTGTGGCCTGGTTCCAACATCCGGCAGTACGCTCCAGCATATTGGGAAGCCACGGTTTGTTGGTGCCCTACTATAACCCACCAAAAAACTAGTTATATGGTCAGAAAACGATGAGCATTAAAAAAGACCTCCGTGTTACGTGAACTGATTACAATACGTATATATGGAAAGATGAACTTACCGACTGATCATTGATAAATCCCATTGTTGGTCCGGATGCAAGTTTCGTGTTTTCTTCGCCGTTGTAGCAGCTACACGTATTCCTTGGTCATCCGCGACTGACGCGTTGGGCTAATGTGTTGAGTATGCCTATGTTCTGACGGATGCGTGGTCTGCGTCTGTGTGTGCTTGGCCCTTATATATTTCGTTACAACGAGTGGGACGTGAAAACCGTAATGTGAAATCACATGGCGTCTTTTAAGAGTTCACGGGACCGGAGTTGACTTGTTGTTGACATGTTGTTCGCCGACGTATTCATCATCACGATGTTGTCTCGTGATGCACGTTGTGTGATGTGGAACAGACAGAGCACGAGGGAGGCAGTGGACGCGGATGCACTAATCTGATTGGGCGACCGCTGCAGGTTCACACTCTTTCACTAATTTGCTCACTCCATTCGCTTGAGATGTTTAAACTGAATATGGGAATGTAAGTGTGAATTTCTTGTGAAACGTGCATGTTCCGTAGTTCTCAGCCTACTTGCGGGCATGAAGCAACTCACCCATTGCGTCCTGAATTTGTTTTATTTTACACTACTCATGAGTAGCTTAGAGATCACATATCAACATCGACCAGATTTTAGCGACCGGTTTTTTCACGCATTATTGTTCGACCTCCGTCCTGCTATGTTAACAATTGGAAGTTGGCACTCTACTAATATCTTCTGCAATTTAACCCGAATCGTGCAATCACCACGCCTAACTGCATGTTGTTGTTGCGACCACTTTGTTGTTCGTTTCTGGACGTGCACTTTCTAATGTCACAGAGGTGAGCGTTTTTCATTCGTCTGCGGGCTAATCAGGAATCGATTTAATGCACTGAATCGGTGAAGGTTCTTCTCCGTGTTCTTAAGAAAGTTAGCTTCGCGATGACTTTCCGGTGGAATGTGGAACGTCACGCAAAAGGCTATTGTCACACAAACGCTTGCTGTCCATATACTGGAGCGCAAATGCACACATGTCAAGATACTTGATAAGTGGATTATCCAGTTTCCGTCGACTATTGGTCAGCGCTGCTCAACTTATCCAGAGTTACTCTTCGAGTGTTTTGCCAAATCGCCCGTGATTGTTGGAAACGGTTGTATCATTCTTGGGTTACTTAGTCCCTCAGTGTGTTTCAAAAATCGACGCAGAAGGGTCGTAAAATCGCCTGGATCCGTCTATCATATGCGGGAAACAACGAATGTGACCGCGCCCATGTTTAAGACCAATTATATATAACACTTAATCGTGTTTCATTTCCGAAAGAGTTCAGCGGATCCCTATGTGAGTTACTTGCCTGGAGGTTAATGGTTGAAGTGTGGCTTCTCATTCCTGGCCCTTCCTTCAAGTTAAGTATCACACATGCCAGGATATCTGTCACTATTATACCAAGATGTGGTAACCACGGCGAGATGGTTCAGTGGTTAGAGCGCGAATCTACTGACCGGAAGTTCCGTGGTTCGAACCCGACCTACGCCTCTCGACTTCCCCCGGTTTAGGCTTGGGCAACCTGGCAGTATCCCAGCCCTCGTGCTTCCTTCGGGTGGCATGGCGTCTAAGCGCTGGAGGAATGTTAGAGCTGAACGATATATATATATATATATATATATA